GAGAAGCTGGACCTGAAGCGGCAGCTGCAGCTGCACGCCGAGGTCGAGGACGAGGAAGTCTGCCCGGGAGGGTGGGCTGGGAGAGGAGGGGAGAGGGTGAGGGAGTTCGAGGGGGAGAGAGAGATCGAGGATCGGTTGCTTTGCTTTGCTTTTGGTGTGTTCGGGGGGCTGATGGGGGACCTTGTCACCACGGCTGGGTTCGCATATCACTTCAGGTCAGACCGCGCTCCTGGAAAGGTCTGAAAGAGTTTATTTCGGGGAGACCCTCACAGCTCGAACAAACACACGACGGCCACCTTTCCTCAACCGAAAGATTTGGGTTGTTAGGGTTCTTGAACAAACAACTCCCGACCCGTTCACCCGCCCCGCAGCCGCGGCCGCCTTGCCTCAACACTCCTCGATGGTCCTTGGTATCCCGCGTCGCGTTCTCGACAAATGAAGGCAGAACCAACGACATGCCCAATCGCAAGACACAACACGTGTTCCTACCAGGAGTCAACGATTGTAGGTATTTTTCACCCGAGGGCGTCAGGTCCAGGGCATGCGCGTGCTCAGCGAGACACTTCAGACTTGCAGACGAGTTTCTGCCGTTGCGAGTCTCCGCATCCCTTTTTACCCAACGGTTCCGTATACAACGCGTTCACCAGATCTCAAACACCTTGCGCACTTGCACCACCATGGGGCTGCAGCTGCCGATGCGGCGCCTGCTGCCAACATCGTGCGGGGCTTGCCTCTACAGGGCCAGGAGCGTGAAGTGCACCGAGAATTTCTGAACGCTTTGTAATATGAGCCGCAACTTGCGTTGTTTGCGCTTTTCAACGACCAGGCCACTCATTGGGGCAAAGATCTTGACACCCACGGGGACCTTCACCTGCTACTCTGGCTTGTATTTATTCTTCTCGAAGGCTGAACTCCCCGAATCATGACGCACTCTGACGGCGGCAGACCTGTGGCTCCTTATCTTCCCTCTCACTGCTCACCATCTTCCTCCGTAGCCGTTTCGGCTCAGTGCGACCTTTATTTCGACGAGGCCCGCCGTCTTGGAGCCCGGCTGGCACACCCGAGGTGGCTGACCCGGGCTGTTCGGCTTCTCCTCCTGCTCCTCTTCCTTCTCTTCCTGTACCGGAACCTGCTGCCCAGGGCAGAGAGCCTCCCGCCGACGTGGTGGCGGAGGCGGCATGGCGGCAGCGGCATCAACCAGCCCCGAGCCGCACAGGGACAGTGCTCCCGCCGACCTGAGCATCGCCCTGGACGTGGCATGCCCTGCTGGACACCCCCTGCTGGCGAAGGCGGCGAGGGCGGGCACCTGCGACAAGTGCGGCAAGGGCGTTCAGGAGGGGGAGTGCGTCGCGGACTGCCGGCGGTGCGATTGGTACGCCTGCACCCGTTGCACCATCGCCTTACGGCGCAGCCCAGCCGCCGCCGGCGACGGGGTTGCGACCCCAAGCGGCTCATCGCTGGCCTGCCTCTCGGGGCACGCGCTGGCGCCTTGGACTGCCACCAGCAGGGGCGCGTGTGACGGCTGCCAGAGGACAGTCTGGGCAGGCGATCCGCTGATGGACTGCCGGGAGTGCGACTGGTATTTGTGTTCTGGCTGCTCCTTCCAGCGGCAACACGCGTGGACAGGACGTCTGTGCTGCCCGCGCGGCCACGAGCTGCAGCGCTGGGCTTGTCAGCAGGGGGGAGAGTGCGACTGCTGTGGCGCCACGCTGCCGCCCGGCACGATGGTCCTGGACTGCAGGCAGTGCGACTGGTACGTATGCGAGGAGGTGGGCGCAGGGTCCTGCTGGAAGGCCGCCCTGTCGGTCGACGGGCGTGGCCGTGGCAACGGGCATAAGGACGTGTGCGATTTGCCCCTCCAACCAGTGGCGCTGGAGGATGACAGGTGCCGACGGGGCCACGAGGCAAAGCCACAGAAGGCGCAGCACGGCGATTGCTTGCATTGCCCGAGCCAGCAGGCTGGCTCACGCGAAGTGGCTGCCCCCTGCAGCGAGGCGCCCGAAGGGACTGTCCCTCTCAAAGAGGCTCCTGTCGAAATGATGGTGGATGCAGCGGCATCCAGCCCCGAGCCACAGGAGGTTGCCCTGGACGTGGCATGCCCTGCTGGACACCCCCTGCTGGCGAAGGCGGCGAGGGCGGGCACCTGCGACAAGTGCGGCAAGGGCGTTCAGGAGGGGGAGTGCGTCGCGGACTGCCGGCGGTGCGATTGGTACGCCTGCACCCGTTGCACCATCGCCTTACGGCGCAGCCCAGCCGCCGCCGGCGACGGGGTTGCGACCCCAAGCGGCTCATCGCTGGCCTGCCTCTCGGGGCACGCGCTGGCGCCTTGGACTGCCACCAGCAGGGGCGCGTGTGACGGCTGCCAGAGGACAGTCTGGGCAGGCAACCCGCTGATGGACTGCCGGGAGTGCGATTGGTATCGAAGACGCCTGATTACGGCATGCTACCGCTGACCCCTGCCTTTTGGAAACGCCCATGCGGCCAAACGTTGGACCCAAGTCTGCCCAATCTGTTGGACTATGAGTTCCCCCAGCCGTTGTGGAACCCCTCAGGGTCGGAACGCTGGGGAGAGGAATACAAATGAGGAAGAGGAGGAGGAGAAGGAGGAGGAGGAGGAGGACGAGGAGGAGGAGGAGGAGGAGGAGGAGGAGCGGAGGAGGAGGAGAAGAGGAGGAGGAGGAAGAAGAGGAGGAGGAGGAGGAGGACAGGGAGGAGGAGGAGGACGAGGAGGAGGAGGAGGAAGAGGAGGAGAAGGAGGAGGAGGAGGAGAGGGGGGAGAGGGAGGAGAGGGAGAAGAGGGTGGAGAAGGAGGAGAGGGAGACTCTGGAGACTTTGCCTGACCGCGTAGCGATATGATTGAAATCCGCCAGCACCTACGGGGGGTGCTTGCGCCCACTCCTCTGGATCTTCTCAGCTTTGCTGAGAGCCTTTGGCCAGAGGCCCAAGTTGACACGTCGTAAATATTCACGCCCTGTGGCCGTGGGGGCTTCACATTCAAGGGCAAGCTTCCCTGCCTTATGGGAGATAATCATACCGCATTGAGCACACAACCAAATTCCCACCCCAGCGTGGAACCTCAGACGATGGGTTTAATTAATCCAGCCCCCTGCTACGTGTACCTGCTTACCCAGGGGGGGTCTCACATGAGTGTCGTCCACGTTAATAAGGTTGAAAAATCCCGATCGGTAGAATGTTAGTTTGGTGGCTAGTGTTGCAAATCCTTTACAGACGGTGCACTTACGGCCTGTCTCATCCAATTTGTGGGCGGAGACGAAAGCAGCACACTTGGCAGGGGCAGGGGATCTGACAGGCTGTATCGCCCTGGGCTGCTATTTTCTGGGCTCGCTCAAACTCTAGGGCCTCCAGGGTGGTCCTCAGGAAGCACGTGCGAACATGATAAGCCTTATTTTCCTTAAGTTGAATATGCTGTCGAATTTGTTTGGGGACTCGATGCTCGTCGGTGGCGATACTGACAAGTTCCTCGACAGTGGTATTGCCGTAGACGAGAGACCGAATCGAGCGTCCCTGTATGATGTCCTGTCCCGACTGATGTTACCGATCAAGGAGGACACCAAAATCGCTTGATCGACGGTGTAGATCCAGTCCAACTTGGTGCCAGAGGTCAGCGTCAGGTCCTTCGGGGCTCTCTGGATGGCCGCTGTAGAAGTCCAGATAGACTCCTTCACAGTCTGTCACGTATATCACATCATAGAGTGTTACCTGCAGGGCAAGGAGGAGGGCGTACAACTCGCCTCTGACCATTGTTTGTCTATCGCCAGCCAGGGGTCCCCACAGTGCCATCTGCTGCTCCAGGCCGTTGGCGTCCAAGGCGTGAACGCCGCGATGGCCACGCCCACTCGGCGTAGCACTGGTGAGGCTTTATCTGCTCCACCACTGGCGTCGCCGAAAGTGTAGATCGTAGGCCCTCGCCGACCTGCCTCGAAGCATCATGGCGCGAAGGTGTCGATGCCATAAGTGCTCCATGCGGGGGCTGCTGCCGGCGAAGGGGTCAACGTCCAAGCCTGAGGGAGGAGCCCTCGTGCCCAAAAACATTCGTACATATCCTGCTGAGCGGTGGCCTCGCCTACGAGGTGCTCGGTGGCGTCTTAGACTGGGTAGCTCTTGTGCTCGGGGCACTCCCAAGTACGATGGAATGCAGTCTCTTTCTTCAGTCGGCAGCGGGGGCACATGCCGTCGGTGACAGCGTTGGTCTCGGCCTGGACGCTCGCCTTGGCCCACGTGGCCCCCACTGCTATCGTGAGCATCAGCGCTGACAGCCTGATGCCCTGTTTCATCTTGGAGAGATAACCCAGCAGCTTGCGATATGATTTGTTGTCGATCCCTTGTTCCATGCCCGATCCCCCATAATGAGCACTGGTTTTAAGGCAATATCTTGCCTGAACGCTGCGATCGATGTCTTGAAGAAGTGCTGCTGGTATGTCAACTGCTGGTTTTCCTGTGAGCTGGGCCGCATCACATTCCAACATTAATTGGCCCTCTTGGCCGATGATAGCAGAGCCCATTCGTGAGGTTGCTCGGGTCCCATCCTTGCTCGAGGAGATAGAGAATCATCGCTGGCTGCGGTCACCGAACGTGGCGATCACTGTCCGGCTGGTAGCGAGCGAAGATGTGTGACGACTGAGTCCCAAGTGAAAGCAATGGACCGCTGCATCGGCCCTGCCTGGATCCACGTACTGGGCCAGAGGTGTGCAGCGTCGCGTGGGAACTTACGGGCAGGGTCCCGGGCGGCAGCGCGTAGGTCCAGCAGCGTGGTGAGGCAACGTCCTTGGAGGCGTGGCCACAGGGCGTCGCCGATGCGGCGCCGAAACAGGACCATCTGCGTGCCGAAGACGCCGTGCAGCTGGTGTCCGTAGCCGCCTGCTGCCTGGGCCCCTGATTGGGCGAGGCGGCCCGTCACCTGGTAGCGACGGATGACTCGTGCGAGCCGAACGATCTTCGTGTGCATGCTCTTGTGCTTCTGCAGCCGCTGCGTGCGGGTCGCTCTGGCATGTCGAACTCCTCCCCCGAAATCTGCCCCGAGGTAGGCCGCCTGTGCTCGTGGTTGCACCTTGAATCCGTGCCTTGCTAGACCTCGGGCGACACATCTGGCGTCGTCCATGCTGGAGCATACAATGATACGTTTCGTGATGATGTTGAGCCCCCGTGCGCGGAGCCGCTTGCATGTGTCGAGCAGGCATTGCAAAAGACCCTGGCGAACCGCACGGTGGGATCCTTGGAGCCTCTGCGAACGACCGTCGACCCAGATTCTGTGCGCACAGCGCGCATGTACCTGGGCGACTCGGCGAAGAGCTGTGAATGGCATGTACTTCGCGAATCGCGTGCCAGCCCTGAGCCCTTGAACCACCGATCGCGTCGGCTGGAACGGCAGCGTGTAGCTGCCGCTCTGGGTGAGGACTTGTGGGGCGACGCATTGGAGGATCTCGAGACCTAGGATCTCTGCAGGGAAGTCCTGGCCCAGCGCCTCGTTGCCGAGGGCGATCCAATCGATAGAGTCGTAGAATTGAGAAATATCCAGGAGCCCATGTCCATGTGGGACACGGGCGTAGGCTGAGATCTCCTCCTGGAGGGCTCTCTCATAGGCCTCGCGGAGGGCTGAATTGCCGCGGACGGCGGCATCCCATGAAGGATGACAAGGACGAGGAGGAGGAGGAGGAGGAGGAAGAGGAGGAGGATGATGATGATGCTGATGCTGCTGATGATGATGATGCTGATGATGATGATGATGCTGATGATGATGGTGATGATGATGATGATGATGATGATGATGATGATGATGCTGATGATGATGATGCTGATGATGATGATGCTGATGATGATGATGATGATGATGATGTTGAAATGATGATGATGATGATGATGATGATGATGATGATGCTGATTATGAAGGATGATGATGATGATGATGATGATGATGATGATGATGATGATGAATGATGATGATGATGATGATGATGATGATGATGATGATGATGCGGAGGAGGAGGAGGGAGGAGAGGAGGAGGAGGGAGGAGGGAGGCGAGGAGAGGAGGAGGAGGAGGAGAGAGAGGAAGAGAGGAGGAGGAGGAGGAGGAGGAGGAGGAGGAGGAGGAGGGAGGAGGAGTGAGGAGCAGCAGGAGGCGGAGGAGGAGGAAGCGGGAGAAGGAGGAGGAGGAAGGAGGCGGGCGAGGAGGCGGACGAGGAGGAGGACGAGGAGGTGGAGAGGACGAGGAGGAGGAGAGGAGGACGAGAGGAGGAGGAGGAGGGGACGAGGATGGGAGGAGGAAGAGGACGGAAGAGAGAACGAGTAGGAGGAGGAGGAGGAGGAGGAGGAGGGGGAGGGGAGGAGGAGGGAGGAGGAGGAGAGAAAGAGGAGGAGGAGGAGGAGGGGAGCAGGAGAGGAGGAGGAGGAGGAGGGGAGGAGCAGCAGCAGCAGGAGGAGGAGGACGAGGAGGAGGATGAGGACAACAAAGGAGAGGAGGAAGGAGGAGGAGGGGGACGAGGAGTAGTAGGAGGACGGAGGCGGAGAGGCGGAGGCGGAGGGGAGGGGCGACAGGAGGAGGAGGAGGAGGAGGAGGAGGAGGAGGAGGAGGATAGGAGCGGAAGAAGCGGTGGCGGTGACGGGCGGGGCGGCGACGACGGCGGCGGCGGAGGAGGGGGAGGAGAGGTGGTGGCGGGAGGCGGAGGTTGAGAAAGGAGGAGGAGGAGAGGAGAGGAGGAGGGGAGGAGGAGGAGGGGAGAGGGAGGAGGAGAGGAGGAAGGAGGAAGAGGAGGAGGAGGAGGAGGAGGAGGAGGAGGAGAGGAGGAGAGGGAGGAGAAGGAGTATGTGGAGAAGGAGATGGAGGAAGAAAACGAGGCCTCTTGAGACTCTCTTTGGGCCTCCTGGGGACTTCCTGGGAGCCTGAGGGGCCGCGGCCTCTTGGAGGCTTCCTCGGGCTTCTTGGTGGCCTCTTGGGGGCTTCTCGGGGCCTCTAGGGGATCTCTTGGCCTTCGGAGGCCGTCTTGGGGCCCGCTCTGAACAGGCGAAGGTCCCTCTTTGGGCGCACTAGGGCTGCCTTGGGGGTTTGTGGGGCTGTCTCAGGGGCAAAGTGAGCCGTCTTGCTGGCCTCCTGGGGGCCTCTTGGGCCGTCTTGGAGCGATCTTGGGGGCTATTCGGCTGTCTTGGAGCGTCGGCAGCCCGATAAGGCGAGACAGCTAAAATCATTCAACAATCTCAGGGACATCAATGATTTTGGTCTCTTGGAGGTCCTCTTGGAGCTCTCTTGGAGAGTCTTGGGGGCCCTCCTGGGCGTCTGGAGGACATCTTGGGGCGTCTTGGGGCCGTAATGATCGTCTTGTGATTGTCGTGGAGGCTATTTGGGGCCATCTCGGCCATCTTGGAGGCGATCTGGGCAACGGGAGATCTCGCCCAGAGATCTCAGGCTGGCTGGCAGCCTGGGACTTGGAGGGTCTGTTGGGGGACTCTTGGGGACCTCTGGGGCGTTTCCTGTCGCCTGTCGGGAGGATTTTCTGGCGCCTTAGGTCTGGGGTCTTGGGGCCTTCTTGGGCAGGAGATGTCCTGGGCACCTGGCCTGGCACACCCCCCGTTGAGGCAAAAAGCATTGACAATTCGATCCTGGAGGCTGTCTTTTTCTCCCCTGGCGATAACGGTCACGTCACGATTCGCGCCGGCGCCGCCTGGGAATGCTGAAGAATCCTTCATTCCCAGACGGCGCCGGCGCGAGTCGTGACGTCACGAGCCCAAGAATTCCAGCACATCGGGAGTCCGCTGGGCCCTTCAGAACCTGCAATCCTTCTGACGTTCATGAGTGGCTGAGTCTGTGAGCCTTGGGCCACTCCACTACGTGCTCAAGGCACTGTGGCGGATCTGTGTTCCGGCTGCTCCTTCCAGCGGCAACACGCGCGGGCAGGGCGTGTGTGCTGCCCGCGCGGTCACGAGCTACAGCGCTGGGCCTGCCAGCAGGGGGGCGAGTGCGACTGCTGTGGCGCCACGCTGCCGGCCGGCACGATGGTCTTGGACTGCAGGCAGTGCGACTGGTACGTGTGCGAGGAGGCGGACGCAGGGTCCTGCTGGAAGGCCGCCCTGTCGGTCGACGGGCGTGACCGTGGCAACGGGCATATATCAAGAGGTATTGGGGGAGGGAGAGGGAAGGCGAGAGGGGAGAGAGAGCAGGGTGAGAGAGAGAGATGGAGAGAGACAGACAGAGACGGAGACAGAGGCAGAGAGACAGACAGACAGAGGGATTGCTATAGTGAGAGCGGGAGAGGGGGGGAACGGGTAACATGGAAGGGATGGGCGACAGGGATGGGGTAATGGGAGAGGCAGCTGGAGGTAGATGAGAGGAGAAAGGGGTGGGGCAGTGGGCGGAAGAGATGAAAACCGAGATCGAGACGCAGAGACACCGAGGTCAGAGTCAAAGGGGCTGTGTTGCAGAGACGCAGTGAGAAAGAGGGAGAGATAAATGAAGAAATCGATTAAACAAAAAACAAACAACACAAGAGAGACAGGGAGGGAGAGAGGGAGAGAGAGAGAGAGAGAGATAAACAACACGAGAGATAGAGGCATATGAGGAAAAGGAATTGAGGGGGTAGGTGGCGGGAGAGTCATATTGAGCCCGCTGCGCGGGAGTCACGGCGGGCCCCCAGAGGGAAACACGCACCCAAATGTATCAATCAGTGGTGTTCAGGGTACGGCTACAACGAGCGTCGCTACCATTCGTTGCAATTGTTCTCAGAGCCATCTTGGCGTCCCTTGAGGGGGCAGGCGGTCTTCGGAGCCAACAGAAGACCTTTGGAGGTCAATGAGCCACGAAGTGCGTGAGGGGTGTGTCGAATCGAAGCTCCCCTGAACCGTCTGAGGGATCAGCTGAGGGCTCGTTGGGTCCAGGAGGCACGATATGTGTGAGTAGTGTTCCGAATTGAGGCTCACTTTAGCCGTCTTGAGGGCCAGTGGATCGTCTCATTGCAAGGAAGTCCCACGCAAGAGTGCGATTCCTAGATGAACTGTGAGGAAGTCCTACGCGAGAGCGCGATTTTGAAGAGCTTGTGAGGAAGTATCAGGCTGGAGTCGTTGTTGAATGTTCATGTCTAAAGGATATTTGTCGTTGATTTTTCCAGCCCGGTAACCATCGTACTTTTCAATTACAGTGCTTCTCCTAGGGCTCGCACCCTGTTTTTTAGCAGGTAAAGCGAAGTGTCACCAAACTGCGCCCCTGGCCCCCGAACTTCCATATTAACGGCTCCGGCCTGATGCTTCCTCACAGTTTATTCCCAAATCGCGCTCTCGCGCAGGACGTCCTCACAATTTATGCAGGAATCGCGCTCTCGCGTGGGACTTCTTCGCAATGTATTCAGACGCCGCGCCCTCGACACTCAGGAATCATGCTCTCGCCGTGCGCTTTTTCATGATTTATTTAAGAATCGCGCTGTCGCTCGAGACTTCTTCGCGATTCATGCAAGACGCACGCTTCAGCAACCCGCCTGCTCGACCAGGCCGCCTAGGCCCGCCTTCACGACCCGCCTGAGGGTCTACCCGCACGATTTGCCCGTCTGGTTCTGCCACGTGTTTTTTTGTTGCTTCTAGCCCCCCTCCTGCTATTTTCTTTCGTGCTCCACCCTCCTCCCTCCCCTCTTTCCCTTCCTTCCATCCGTCCCCTCTTTCCCTGCCTTAGGGGCTCCACGCAATACACACGTTGCAGGTAAGAACGATATACCCGTAAGGGGGTACGATCGAAGACGAAGAGGGCGGGCATCGAGGGTTTAGGATATACGTGTGCAGTGGCACGCGAGCAGATAAGAGCAAGCAGTCTTAACACGATTGTGGGTGTTGTTGCTGTCGATGTCGTTGTCGTTGGCGTTGTCGTTGGCATTGTCGTTGTCGTTGTCGTTTTCGTTGTCGGTGTCGTTGTTGTGGTTGGCGTTGTTGTTTGGATTCTCATTACGAAGCAATAATTATTGTTGATCCCCCCTCCGTTAACATATGTGTTTGTTCAACTGAAGTGCCCCTCCCGGGGCTCGCACCTTGTTTTTTATCAGGGAAAGTCATCCTCCTCAAACTGCGCTCCTGGCCCGCGGACTACAACAACAACTGCTCCCAGTTTATACTTCCGCACAATTTACTGAGGAATCGCGCTCTCGCTGGGGACTTCCTTGCAACTTATTCAAGAATCGCGCTCCCAGCTTGTTTTAGGGGCGGCATCGCGATTCCTGAGTGTCGAGGAGCGGCATCTGAACACATGATGAGGAAGTCTCACGTGAGAGCGCGCTTCCTGAGCAGCTTGCAAAACCGTATTAAGCGAAAGCGTGGTTTCTTAATACATTGTGAGGAAGTATCAGGCGGGAGCCGTTGTTGTTGCACCTCGGGGGCCAGGGGCGCAGTTTGAGGCTCAAGACTCCGCAATAAAAAAAACATAGTGCGGACCGCAGAAGGAACACTTGAGTTGAAAACTACCATGTGCACCGGGCAGGGAGGACCAACAATACTTATTCGGAAGTGAGAACCATTATTCTTCTTCTTCTTCAACAGCAACAATAAGTTGCTCGCGTGCCACTCAACACGAATATCCCAAACCCTCGATACCCAGCCTCTTCGCCTTCGATCGTATCTCCTTGGGGGTATCTCTTCCTTGACTGCAACGTGTATTTCGTGCAGCACCTAAGGCAGGATAACAGAGGACGGACGGAAGGAAAGGACAAGGGTGAGAGAGGAGGATGGAGCACGACAAAGAGAGAGTAGCAGGAGGGGGGCTAGGAGCAGAAAACACATGGCAGAACCGGACAGGCAGATCGGACGGGCAGACCCTAACAGGTGGGCCCGGGCGGCCAGATCGACCAGGCGGGTTGCTGAAGCGTGCGTCTTGCATGATTCGCGAGGAAACCTTGAGAGACAGCTCGATTCCAAAATAAATCTAGTGAAATCAACTTCGAGAAAGTCCCAAGCGACAGCGCGATTCCTAAGTGTCGAAAGCGCGACGCCTGAATAAACCGCGAGGAAGTATCAGGCGAGAGCGCGATTCTTTGATACATTGCGAAGAAGTCCCTAGCGAGAGCGCGATTCTTGAGTACATTACTAGGACATATCAGGCGGGAGCAGTGGTTGTTGTAAACCGAGGGCCAGGGGGACAGATTGAGCGGGAAGACTTTCACAGCGAGCCCCAGGAGGGGCATTTAAATTAGAAGCATACGCATGTTACGCGAATGCGTGGGTCCTGCATAATTCGCCAGGAAGTCTCGGGCGCGAGCGCAATTCCAAATTCAATTATGAGGAAATCCCAAGCGAGAGCACGATTCCTAAATGGCGAGGGCGTGGCGCCTGAATAAGTTGCGAGGAAGTCACAAGCGAGCGCGAGACTCTTTGATAAATTGCGAGGCCGTCCCTATCGAGATCTGTGTAAGTTGCACGGAAATATCAGGCGGGAGCGGGAGCCATTGTTGTTGTTGTTGCTGTGCGCCAGGGGCCAGGGGCACAAGTTGAAGAGGAATAATTTCCCTCATCGATACAGGGTGTGAGCCCTGGGAGGGGCACTTCAATTGAAAAACACATGTGTTACCGGAGGGGGGATCATCAATTATGGTTTTCCAGTCGTGAACATTCAACAACAACATGAACAACAACAATAACAGCAATCAGTTTAAGACTGTTCGCTCTTATCTGCTCGCGTGTCATTCAACACGTCTATCCCAAACCATCGATACCCGCCCTGTTCGTCTTCGATCGTGCTCCCATTGCGGGTGCATCTCTCTTACCTGCAATGTGAGTTTCATGCAGCCCCTGAGGCAGGGGAAGAGAGGACGGACGGAAGGAAGGAACGAGGGGCAGGCGGGTTGCTGAAGCGTGCGTCCTACATGAATCGCAAGGAAATCTCCAGCGACAGCGCGATTCCGAAATAATTCGCTAGGAAATCCACAGCGACAGCGCGATTCCTGAGTGTTGAGGGCGCGGCGCGTGGATAAATTGCGAGAAAGTCCAACGCGAGAGCTCGATTCCTGCATACATTGATGGAAAGTCCCGCGCGAGAGTGCGATTTGGCAATAAATGGTGCGGAAACGTTCGGCAGGAGCCGTTGCTGAACTCTCACTATTGGGAAAATTATTCTCTTGCACAGGGTGTCTAGAGCTCCGACCACTTTATTTCGGTACCGCACCCCCCTCCCCCTTCATCATCATCATCATCATCATCATCATCATCATCATCATCATCATCATCATCATCACCATCATCCTCACCATCATCACCATCATAATCACCATCATCATCACCCACATCATCATCATCATGCGCCCCCTCCGTCTCAGCGCCCTCCCGCGGCTCCAGCGCCCGCCCAGTGCCTCCTCCGCCCCGACCACTTTATTTCGGCACCGCACCCCCCCTCCCCGCTCCGCCCCCTCCCCCGCGCCGTCTCAGCGCACCCGCGCGGCTCCAGCGCCCGCCCAGTGCCCCCTCCGCCACGAACACTTTATTTCGGCACCGCACCCCCCCTCCCCGCTCCGCCCCCTCCCCCGCGCCGTCTCAGCGCCCCCGCGCGGCTCCAGCGCCCGCCCAGTGCCCCCTCCGCCCCGACCACTTTATTTCGGCACCGCTCCCCCCCCCGCCAGCCCCTCCCCGCGCCGTCTCAGCGCCCCCGCGGCTCCGGCGCCCGCCCAGCGCCCCCTCCGCCCCGACCACTTTATGTCGACACCGCACCCCCCCTCCCCGCTCCGCCCCCTCCCCCGCGCCGTCTCAGCGCCCCCCCGCGGCTCCAGCGCCCGCCCAGCGCCCCCTCCGCCCCGACCATTTTATTTCGGCACCGCACCCCCCTCCCCGCTCCGCCCCCTCCCCTGCGCCGTCTCAGCGCCCCCCCCGCGGCTCCAGCGCCCGCCCGGTGCCCCCTCCGCCTCGACCACTTTATTTCGGCACCGCACCCTTCCCCCCGCTCCGCCCCCTCCCCCGCGCCGTCTCAGCGCCCCCCCGCGGCTCCAGCGCCCGCCCAGTGCCTCCTCCGCCCCGACCACCTTATTTCGGCACCGCACCCCCCCTCCCCGCTCCGCCCCCTCCCCCGCGCCGCCTCAGCGCCCCCGCGCGGCTCCAGCGCCCGCCCAGTGGCCCCCTCCGGCCCACCCGACCA